AAATATAGTTTCGTCACGAATAACATGCCCTACAACATTTTCGTTATCACTAATATCGTTACTAGAGTAAAATGCATGCACTCCATCCATTGCCAATGCTTCTGTTGCATCAATGGAAAGAATCTTTGCATGCGCTTTCGTACTAAGTACAAGTGCCAAATACAACTCATTCTCCATACGTGGAATATCATCGCAATACATGGCTTCACCAGTTGCTTGCTTCATTGCAGCAGCATGCACTTTGGGTCGACCGATTGGATCACATATAGACTGTTCGGAGCTGACACGTTCAAATAACTGTGCACTTTTTAATATAGGTGTGTGGAAAGATTCTGCACCACTGCATTCCTCATCAGATATACTGTTATATGGTATAATGCCGGCACTTACTAGTTTTTGACTTATGACCAAATATGATTTGTAAAACAAACTGACTACTAGAGATCGCCTGTAAGCAATCATACCTCCTGGAGCTGAAGGTTCTAATGGTAACTCTGCACACAAACTTTCCGTGACGCGTTCTACAAGCACGTGATCCCAATTTTGTTTGACCATCATTTCAGATGTTCGTGGTGCTAAAATGGTTGTTGGAGCCATTCCACCGAATGCCATAAAAATCTGATCCACAATATTTGTGTTGGGTTTAAAAAAGACATTTATGGCGGAATTGACAATAGCAATATCATCATCCCTTCGGCGTGCCTGCTTAAAGGCGATTACATATTGATTTGGTAAAGTTTTCGGAAAATAAATTCCAATCAAAACTTCATGTGGTGCAATAACATTTTTACGATAACCAGTAAAAAATCCAGATCCCATGTGCACATATCGGGTTTTTAGTTGACCATCCACCATACCTGCTACAAGCATTTTAACAGTACCAGCTGTTAAAATCGGATTCATGTCAGATATCGGACTTCCAGTCATAATGTTACCACCTAATGATGCAACATTCCGTATCTGCTTACCAGCAAAATAGTGCAACATCTCCACAGTACATTTGAAAAATCGAGTTTGATATTCCGGAAGTTTAGTGATAAGATCTTGTAAATAGTTTTGAATATCCATTAAGCTAACAGAAGCACCAAAATAAATGCTGTCTTCCTGTTCTTTTATTTCATTTAATTGCTTCACTTTAGATGGATTAATCAGTACTGGGTAAAGTAAATGTTTGAATTTCACTTCGACTCCCACTTCAGTATTGCCAACTACCAATTTCGCATTTGGATTTTGTGCTTTGATTTGAAGTAGTTCTTCCAACTCAACTGGACGATACCAACTCACACGAGGGCTTTTAAAAACTATACTATTTGAATCAAATTCAGTGTTAAGCTGCAATTCGGGTGGAAAAATAGGTTCCTGGCTGGGATCAAAAGGTAGAAATTTACTTTTTTCAAAAAGCTTATCATCAACATTATTGCTACTGTTGCCATTACAACTATTTCCATTTCCATCTCCGTTCCCATTCATTTTACAGCATTTATCACCCATTGCACATGAAAATTCTTTAGTAAATGTTTTGTAGCCTTCCAAAATTGGACGATAACCGGTACAACGACAAAGATTACCTTGAAATGCAATTTCCAAATCCTTCATTGTAGGCTGTGGTGAACTGCGAAGTAATGCGTACATTGACATGACAATACCTGGTGTACAGAAACCACATTGGCTGCCATGCGCTTTAGCTATTCGTTCCTGTACAGGATGAAGACGTGTTCTCGTACTACCGATACCTTCAACAGTAGTTACGGCATAACCGTGCATTGCGCATACTGGCGTAAGACAGGCATTGACTGCCAAATGTCGAATCTCATTTGTGTTTCGATCAATGCGTGATATCATAACGGTACATGCACCACATCCTCCTTCTCCGCAACCTAATTTCGTACCACATAAATACAGTTTATCACGAAGATAAGTAAGAAGCGTACACTCAGGATCTGGATTGGCGTCAATTACCTGCAAATACATATTAATTGATTTTAAGTGTATACCATTTAGAAACTATTAATTGATTTTTTTTTACTCGACGAATAGCAAAAAAAGCTATTGAAAATTGATTGATTAAGAAAGCAAAATTAATTTTAGTGAAGATGCATAAATTTTTTAAAAATTTATAAGAGACTGCAAAAATGTCGACATCGAATAATGATGCATAATAGTGCAGGGGTGTGGTGGTACAGAATTGTTTTTTGGATCGGTTACCTATGAAGATACGGATACTATGTTACAAGCTCTACAGTTAATAAATTGTTAATAATCGTTATTAACTGTTGAGCAATATGGTGAAGTTGAGCTTGGAAATATCACAACTGTTAAGTGAGCTGCTAAGGTGACGGATTATTGAAGTATATTTGTTTTAAGTATCTTAAGTGGCTTTCGCCAGAGGTACATTCTATTTGGAAATCTTCTGATGTATACCTTTAGGAGTTAGCCAAGCTGGCAGATCAATGTTCTCAAGGATTGGTTTGAGTGAGGTAGCTATGATGAGAAACAGGTAAGAGCACCTTGAACTGTATCTGAACTGCTTACTTTGGGTGATTTAGACACATTAAAGAGCAGTTGGTCTGTAAGGAGTGGCAGCCGTACGCAATCACAGATTGCACGTGGTGTTGATCGATGCTGATATCTTACGGGGTTAAATGATAAGGCGCTCGCTTACCGAAAGCCTCTTCGGTAAAGGGAATTTAAAAAAATTAAGCACATCTTCAGTTTTGTTGAGCCGCGTAGAATGCAGCATAGAGTTTTCTTGATTTTAATTAAAAGTTCTGTAAGTTCCAATAGTTTTCTTATTATCACCTGAGTCGACATTTAAGTCATTCCGAGAGCGTTTAACGGTAAGAAGAAGGTTTAAAGCCGTCAAAGATAAATTTAGTCGCCACATTTAGTTTGTTGGGGATTACGTACTGGCATACAACGGCTTTGAAGCGTTGTATTTTTAATAATTGAACACATACTATTTCATTTTTGTTAGTGGGATTAATAGTATGTAGTGATGCTTTGTTTATTCTGGCTCAGTTTATGGTGAAATTTAAGCAGAAACAGGGTAAGACGGAATTTGCAGCGGCATTACGTATGGCTCTTGCGGACGTGAAATGTCGCAATAATATCAAGCATGGACAGCAACTAGTATATGTGTCCAGTGATTTCATTAAGTACAGTCATAGTCATACATATCTGCGCGTGAATGGCTTCGAGCTGCGTTAAAGCAGTGAAACGGCTGGTTTGACGCATTAAGAAATTTTTTTGTTATATTATAGAAAGGTGCTAAGGACACGTCTGCAACTGTGGATAGGCAGAAATCGGCATTTTTGAAGGTTGATGGTTGCAGCGTGAAGTGAAGTGAGTGCTGCTGTCTCTGTTGATAGTTGGGATGAAACTAAGTCTCCAGTCAAAGAATTTAAGTCTATTACGTCGATCAAAGGAATACACTTTCCTACGAATCTCGCACAGTATGCTGATTGGCTGTTTAGCTGTGATGATAGTTGTAGTTTTCCGGCGCTGTATAGTCTCCCCTGTTAGAATGATGGTCCTGTAGTAAACCAAGCAGTTTAAGCTTCAGCCGAGAAAAAATGTTGACAGTTGAAAATATGTGTTTGAATTTCTTTTGCAAAATGTGCAATGGATAAATAAATAACCAGTGTATTACTAAAAGTTAGCTGAATAATACGTCTGGATTTGATCATTTCGAAAATCATTAAACAAAATTAAATATCGTTAATAATTTACCTTTTTTCCATTTACAAAAAATATTAGCACCGATGATGTTTTTGTTCTCACATTCTTCCCAGTGTTTAATTCACTCGATTCAATCTTTTGATCCATTTCAAATTTTTTTTTTTGACCAATATTCTTTAATTTTTTTTTATTTTATTTTCTATTTTTGTATTAAAATATTTCCACACTAACATAAATTGTTTTTAATTGTTATTTATAATTGATAAACACCATAACGACTTATTTCGTATGTTTTTGTACAATACATGCCTCTTTATTTTTATTTTACTCTTTAAATTATAGTCTTCACGCGATTCACCCAACTAACGCCTTAGACCTCCCAAAACATTATGATTATGTAGATACATAATAACGGTAGAAGAACTTATTTCGTAGAGCGCCGATAATCTTATCAGCGCCAAAGTAGTCAAAAAAACTGAGTATGCAAATATATATGTATGTATGGTTTGTTGAAATTGGTATCCGTCAGCACCTTTACTTTATTATATAGATTATTGTGGCCTGTATATTGAATTAAAAATATCTCTTTGTACTTTACCAATTTAAACTTTATTATACATATATTAATCGAAGCACAACTAGAAGAACTAACTATCAAAAATTGCCAGTCAATAGAATTGCCATGTTACTCAATTATTAGATCTCATTAAGAATTTCACTGTTACCCTCAATGCAATAAGAAGGGTCCTTCTATTTCCACCCATTTTTCGAAATTAAATTGAAAATTAAATAATAGCTGCTGTCCAAAACTTGATTGATTTTTAACGTCCCACCAACACAACAGATATCGTTTTCTTGTGATGCATAAAATGTAATAATCGTATTACGTTACGAGGGTCACTATTTATATTTTGAGTTTAATAACAAATGTTTCTCGAAGTGTTCTCCTTTATGATTAAAACAATTTCGAAAATACATAATTTGACAATAGATATTTTGCAAAAGCATCCATTACCTCTACAATTCAAATCATAAACCCTATTTAATATAATTAGTATCGATTTTCACCATCCTTTACCTCCACATTCTGAAGCGAATCTTTGAACATCGAAATTTCTGTTTAATGTGAGTAATGGATTTTGTTGGGTTTCGGAGAATGTAATTATAAAACGCATGCCTACATATGTAAGAAAATAGATATGTAATAAACTATATAAACATTTTCCCTGATCTATCTAAATCGTCAATAGTTCTATAAATCGAACAGTTTTGCTAGTACCTTGGCATTCGAATTAAAGAGATCCTACCGTATGCATAGTCTATATGCTTTCTGCAATAATTGGAATTTCAATTAGTATAAGTAAGTAATCATGCTTATTTATAAATTTAAATACTACTCTTAATTTAGAAATAAATTAATCTAGAATCAAATACTAGAAATTATAATGATGTTAAAAATAATTTAAAGTAAGAGTTCTTTAAATGTTAAAGTAAAAATAACATATGTCAGCACCTTTAACTAATGAAATAAGAAAATCTATCTAAGCTTTTAATTTAATCTACAATTCTAATAAGAAAGTAGTCTTCAAAATTTTACTAAACAAGCCAACACCTTATCTTTATTCATATATGTTAACACTTTTACCGATAATATAAACTCAACAAGTACTCCCACTTTCACATGACAGTGACATAAATAATAACAAAACAGCATTAAAATCTTGTCTTATTTCTAAATAAATCCTAATCCATATGTAGATCTTTATAATTCAACATTCCATGGTGTATATGTACCAGGTAAGGGTTCATCAATCTGAAAGAAGAAAAGATATACATATATTGCATATATCGCACATGAACTAAAAGCATTTTTGACATCCATACCAATTTTGTAAAATTGTCTTCGCAAGCCATCCTAATTTTTGCTGCTGTTGCGGGGGCGTTAAGTGTGAAGTCTGTGCTCAGACCTCGTTCTGTACGTGCATGAGAAATAGCATTCTTAATAGCAAAGTAAGCTGCAGCACCTATAAATAACGGCGGTTCACCCACAGCCTATGAACAAATATTATACAGGATCAAAATAATTATACTATACTTATAATTACTACCTTCGATGAGTACACAGCTCTTGGATTCGGTGCACCAGTAAGCAGACTCACATTAAACTCAGCTGGTATATTACCAAAACCTGCAATTTTATATGTGCTTGGACCTCTTGATAATAATATACCTTGTGGTGAATATATTAGCTCTTCTAAAGTAAATAAACCATATCCCTGCATATAAGCCCCTTCTATTTGTCCAATATCAATAGCGGGATTAATGCTGGAGCCAAGGTCCATAACAATATCAGTGCTCCAAACCTGATGATCCCCAGTTAGACAATCTATTTCTACTACAGTTACACCCACACCGTTTGTGAAATAATTATATTTGCGTGCATTTGGTTGACGCACAGGATCATAGTGTATGTCTGGCGTACTATAAAACCCTGTTGCTGAAAGACTTATACGATCAAAATATGCTTTATTTATCCATTCTTTCCAAGTGGCTGTGGGTAGCGCTTCCTTAATAGTTTTAAGTCTTGTATTTAATTTATCACAAGCATCAATAATGGCCATACCATTTAAATCAGAACTTACGCTAGCTGCGGTAGGTGTTGCATTGGGAACCTTATCTGTTGCGAATTCGGATATGTGAATAAAATCTGCCGGTATACCTAAAGCTTTTGCAGTACATTGTATCATTTTTGTATGTAATCCTTGTCCAATTTCTACACCACCATGTGCCAATAAGACTGATCCATCTGCATATATATTTATTAAACATCCAGCCTGATTTATATGTGGTATACCAAATGATATTCCATACTTTGTGGGAACAATACTAATACCACGCTTTCTCCAGCGATTACTTTTGTTAAATTCTTGTATCTTTTTTCGTTTTTCATAAAAATTGGATTGCTCTAAACATTCGTCAAAACATCTACAAAAAGTAACTTAATAAGTAAATACGGATACGGTATGTATTTAAATATATATGTATATATTTATTAATACTTCTTAGTAATAGTTTAGTAAAAATAGCATTTTTGCTAATTATTATAAATAATTATTATAAAACAAAAAATATTAGTAAAAATGTTACTAAATTATTACTAATTAATGTACAAACCTATTATAATATATAGTAGAACAAACCTATTAATTTGCAGCGTGTCCAATTTTTGGTTATAGTGCGTGATATCACCAGTTTCATAGAAGTTTAATTTCATTATATCTACATAGTCCTTTCCCAAAATTCGTGCCACATCACGAATCATATGTTCACCAGCGAACATCCCCTGAGGGGCTCCAAATCCACGAAATGCTGTATTTGAAGGTGTATTAGTTTTACATAACCATCCGACTACTTTTATATTAGGTATACGATAACAGTTTTCAAAATGGTCCATAGCATGTTCAAGCACCTATAATAAGATTACATATCCTTATAAATTTTCCAACATATGTTATTTCAAAAAAACTTACAGCAAATGATACATCCATGCTCCATCCCGCATTTGCATAGCATTCAATATAACATGCTGTAATAAGGCCCTCATTTGTAAAACCAATTTTATATTTGAATAAGAACGGATGACGTGTGCCTGTAATCATCATATCCTCATCTCTATCAAGCATACAGCGCACGGGTCTTCGTAATCTATAACAAGCTAATGCGACGGGTACTGCTACCGATGTAGAGCGTGTTTCTTTACCTCCAAATCCACCTCCTAAACGCTTTACACGACAAACAACTCTATGTGCTGGTACCGACAAAACTTGAGAAATTAATTTTTGTATTCCGGAAGGATGTTGTGTTGAGGAAAATATCTCAATTTCATCAGTATCTCTAGTAACTGCTATTGCAGCATGTGTCTCTAAGTAAAAATGTTCCTGTGCTCCAACACGACAGGTGCCTTCATAAATATGCGCACAATTCTTAAAAGCTTGATCAACATCGCCTTTCTCCAAAATTTGTGGATAATTAGGAAAATATGATTCATGCTCAATTGCTTGTTCAATAGTGATAATTCTGGGTAATATATCTTCATAGTCTATTTGTACAAGCTTAGCAGCTTCCCGAGCAAGTTTTTGATTATCTGCAACAATTGCACCTATTACTTGCCCCCCAGTATAAACCTTGTCGATAGCAAATATAGTTTCGTCACGAATAACATGCCCTACAACATTTTCGTTATCACTAATATCGTTACTAGAGTAAAATGCATGCACTCCATCCATTGCCAATGCTTCTGTTGCATCAATGGAAAGAATCTTTGCATGCGCTTTCGTACTAAGTACAAGTGCCAAATACAACTCATTCTCCATACGTGGAATATCATCGCAATACATGGCTTCACCAGTTGCTTGCTTCATTGCAGCAGCATGCACTTTGGGTCGACCGATTGGATCACATATAGACTGTTCGGAGCTGACACGTTCAAATAACTGTGCACTTTTTAATATAGGTGTGTGGAAAGATTCTGCACCACTGCATTCCTCATCAGATATACTGTTATATGGTATAATGCCGGCACTTACTAGTTTTTGACTTATGACCAAATATGATTTGTAAAACAAACTGACTACTAGAGATCGCCTGTAAGCAATCATACCTCCTGGAGCTGAAGGTTCTAATGGTAACTCTGCACACAAACTTTCCGTGACGCGTTCTACAAGCACGTGATCCCAATTTTGTTTGACCATCATTTCAGATGTTCGTGGTGCTAAAATGGTTGTTGGAGCCATTCCACCGAATGCCATAAAAATCTGATCCACAATATTTGTGTTGGGTTTAAAAAAGACATTTATGGCGGAATTGACAATAGCAATATCATCATCCCTTCGGCGTGCCTGCTTAAAGGCGATTACATATTGATTTGGTAAAGTTTTCGGAAAATAAATTCCAATCAAAACTTCATGTGGTGCAATAACATTTTTACGATAACCAGTAAAAAATCCAGATCCCATGTGCACATATCGGGTTTTTAGTTGACCATCCACCATACCTGCTACAAGCATTTTAACAGTACCAGCTGTTAAAATCGGATTCATGTCAGATATCGGACTTCCAGTCATAATGTTACCACCTAATGATGCAAC